GGGGGGGGGAGACATAAATACAACACCTTTTACCCAGATAAATCAGGAAATTATTTTAAGTTTTGATTGAAAGCAGTATATCACTCTTATGAATGATAAAGACAGGCTGTTTTCAAAGGCAAAGTTCTGAGTTCCTTGAAGTACCCTAACACACTTCACTCAAAACAGAGGAACTAGCGTGCTCCATTTCTTGAAAATCCTTTTGACCAGAAAGGACCAGAATGCTCACTAACTATTACTATTTTTCCTTAACTATTATCTTTTCAATCCTAATTAATCCTAATTTTCTACCTAAATATAATTCACATATAGAGGAATAAACATACAAAAAAATGGGTCTTCCAACTTTTTTACTTTTTTTAATATTTTCACTTTAAGTGTCAAATATCCTTCCAAAATGGAAAAAAAAAATACCACGGAATGGCCCATACTTGTTGTTATGGAACCTTTCTTAACCCAACAAATATGGAAATATTTTAAGTCATTTATATTAAGTTACCTTACCAGTCAAGGTGGGTAAAAATCTGCTACTCAGAACTACGCGTCATTGGTACATCTTCCAAGATGAAACATCTGTCTCCATGGCATCAATGTAACACATTTGCACCTTCATCGTACCCTTAAAAAGAAAATATATAATTTTTTTCATAAATATTATAAAATGTAAAACTAATGAACACCAAAAGGAACTACCACTAACAGCATCCTTCAATTCTGTTATATACACAAATACTAGTTGATATATGTAGGTCAAGGGTTTCAAAATACCAACATCTCTAGTAATGTTTATCAGTTGTAATAAAAAAACAAAGGTCACTCAGAGATTTAAAATAGAATTTATAATCAAATATAATGTATAAATGGCTTCCTTCAAGATGCATTCTACTCCAGACTAAAACAGACTAGGAATAAGCTACCAGAACATTGCCCACAAAGTAACATGGAACAAAAAGTCCCCACCCCGCCTCGATCCAATATGCAATAGCTCTTTTAAACAAAGATATTGGGCCTATTCCACAAAAATCATAATGTATCAATACTCTCAATATTTCAACCACAAGCTGCATATTTATATCAACTAAGTCAGATTCAACATGGATTAAAAAAGACAAAAAAAATTCCAGTCTTCAATTTTTAGATTTAAAGAATTTCCACAAAACTGATGACCGGGTAAAATATATAGTTTCTTCCCTGGTACACTTTTAAAAATATCTTTTAAGTTTTTAAAATACTATATTTCTTAAATCCTATGGACATCAACCTATATATCTATAGATACAGTAAGTATTCAGGATGTCCACTGTGAGCACACTCCCTTACCATTTCTGCCACCACTATCTGCAGCGTCTCAAGAACCCCCTAAATGTACCGTTAGAAATACCCAATGGCAACTGTCAATATTTCCCTAGGAAGTCTATTCCCTCTTAAACTCGACAAAATGTTGACACATTAAGCCTAGTCGGTCTGTAAATTTTGTAGTTGACGGCTTTAATCCAATAAACTGAAGAAGGGATTAGGCTGAACGACCTTTAACAAGGCTACTGTTGGCTGTGATTAACACTTCAGTTTTTGACTTTGGTTGGAATAGGACACCCTTTTGAAAATTTTGTTTGATCGAGAGATTGTGTTTTCTTGTTTAATTTTAAGATTTTGATTGATTCTTCTTTGACGACAAAGCTGACGTTAGGGTTGAAAATGTTTGAATTAACCCCTAGAAGCAAATCACTAGTCAGGAACACATACTAGTGCTTCTTGGAGAGTAAAAAAAAAAAATACTAGTATAAACCTTCTTTCATTATCTTGCACTCCAAATTATGTAGTAGCCAACATATCATTGCTTAGAAAGCAACATCCATTTACAACGACTTACAAATTTTGTGCCATTTTTTATATATGTATATATAATATTTTTCTTTAATGCTTGCATTAATGATTTAATCTTTTAGTTCCTAAACTAGTCAGAACATAAAGTGGAAGAAGTCTTCATCACTTCTTTTGTGATTTACAATCAATAAAAATAACTTAACAGTGAAAAATGTAGGATTTTGCAAGGGGGAATGGGAGACAAGATTGCATAAAATAGTACTAATGAAGTTATATACAAATTCTTTTTTTTTTTTTTCAATTTTTTTTATTTTCATTTATTTCACAGAAAATATTAAGTGTTAGATAAGAACAATATTTTAATTGGTAGGGCACCAGAATGGATAACTTGCTTTTTTGTCTCATTTTGCTGGTTATCAGTTGTTTTTAGAATGAAGAATGATGAAGAAGAAGTTTAAGTGAGGAATGGCATATACAATGTATAAGTTTATATCTATGTGGTATTTCTAAGTTTGAAACTCAGCAGAGAGAAGGTTGATATGAATAAGATATCGCTAAAGAGACTCAGAAAATGATTTTTTTTTTATGCCAGAATCTCATACAAAACTCTTGTAGTCTCTCTGGAGTCTTCTTTCTAATTATGACAACATACAATCATTGCATGCCATCACACAGCAGGAGCACACTTAGCACACTCATGGCAGAGCTATTTCAGACCCTATTAAACCTCCTCTCTACCAAGGGGGGTGACATTTAAAGAATATCCACATATATCAGTCAGTTGCAGTGTGTATTTGAGCAGAAAAGTTGATGACGTGGTCTCCTTGCCTCTTCTATACAGAGCAGTGACATCGTTCTATGTAGGTCTGCTGTAATCCAGAGAACCATGAAATAACTTTCCAGCTGATCAAGCAAGCTGCATGGTTGACGCGGGAGAGATGGACCAGATTTTTACGCCTCAGTGTTCGCAATTTTGTGGTCTAGAGGACAGATATGATGAGGTATTCTACCAGAGTGCATGTTAACTGTGCAGTTTTACAGAGTTTTAAATGTTTTGGATCTAATTACTACAGCAAATGTTGTCTTTACGGAAATAAAAGTACAGAATAATCTGAAAGTTATAAGGTTACAAATAACCTAGACAGTTAATATATTTGACAAATACCTTACTATCAAGATGTACAAAAAAGTATCAATCCCATGAAGCGCTTGATCCAGAGAGCTTTATAAATGTTCACAGGCTTGTACAGAAGCACTTAGAGATACTGCAAAGAAAATTTTCACATCTGGTAAAATTGCAGCATCTTAGTGTGTGTCATAGAATCATATGTCCACTAAGAGTGCATTCCCAGAGATTTAGATTGACCCAATGGACCATCCGGATCGACCTAACTCCCTGAGGGTTCACGCTAAATTGCAGTTAGCCGAGAGTGCAAGACAGTTAATTACCCCCTTACAGCTTTTAGTAGGCGGGACAGATGCTTAAGCTGGCTAAGCTGACAGTAATCTAGTGAGACTACCCACAGGGATAGATCGATCTCAAATCTGAGGGAATGGGGTCTAAGGGACCATTCCCATAACCCGATACTGACTGGCATCTAATTTTTTCTGTCAGAAGACAGTCAAAAATGGAGGATGGATCAACAAAGATAAGTTAGAAGACTACCAGAAATATCTCTGGAACTGTGCCTGAGACAGGTCTATTGACTATATCTTACACTCTGCTACAGAACCCCAAATTTCAGATAACTACTAGTACTAGATTGTAAGTGGGGTGTTATACTTAAAACTTGCAGATAACAGACATAGTCTAAAAAGCATGCTTATAAACTACTATTTGAAATGAAGAAGCTGACAGATATCACACTCCAAACAGTCAGACACTTATTGCCAAATTAATCTAAACATTATTTTCTTGCATAAATGAATTTTCCTCAGGGGGAAAACATTTTCTCCTACTCACAAATCATTGTGTGGCCTATCCCCTCATTTGGATTTGGCATTTAATAACAATTTTAATGAAATGATTTATTTCGAAATGTGATTTAGACCAACTGGCTGTTGACAGTCACTGAGTCGAGTGCACTGAGTCGAGTGTCTTTGACATCATTCATTTAAGCTGATTGCACTCAGCAAGAGTTCCTGCAGAGTTGGATCTACATAAACTGATGGAGTTTATGGGAAATTGGGTCTTATTCACATAACACAAGAAAATCATACAATGTTTTATAGCAGGCCTTTGTGCCAAAATACAGACAATTTTCTTGAAAAACTTCATAAAATGGTATGGCAACCACCTTGGTTCTAAAGGTTAATACTAAATTTGGTACACTTCAAACAAACTTTCCTTTAAAGGGCTTCAACATCTAACTAACTTTGGAAGTATTAGAAGCTTTACAGGATCATAGGTCATTTTCAAATGCATGCAGATGACTTTTAATTAGTAAGCTACAAAATTTAACTAAAAGTGCATGGTGTAGTCTTTTCCCCTTGCAAACCCCTATGAATTGCCATAGGGTTATAGGAAGCAAGATGGGGAGACACTGTTAATACAGACAAGGTACAGGGTCTGTATTTTTCAATCTACTGTCTTTTATCCCTTCCAGTTTTGATTCCATGAGGACATATTAACCGAAGTTACATCCAACAATTAATATCACCCAGGGCATGAAGTAGCCAGTTCAGAACACAAGCTAGTAAATGCCAATTTAATGCTGTTAATATTAAGATGGTAAAAACTAATGCTCAACAAACTGAGAACGTGCTAACAACAACGTCAAGGCCTCAAATTACTGGGAAAATGACAAGCACGACTGCAACTTCAACAAGGCATTTCCTGAGACAGACCAGCAATAATTTACGATGCCAGTGTGCCAAATTTCAATTTACGTTAACACGGAGGACACTGTCTAAACACACTAATTAATGAGCAAGTACCGACTGTACTAGCCAAGAGTTTGAAGACGCCACAGTCAGTAACATAGTAAATTAGTAAAAGGACAGCATGCTGTTCACAGAGACTCAAAGTAAAATATCCACATTTTTAAGGAGTATTTTAGAGTCACCGAGGCTCTTTTTCCGCTCACACACAACCGCGCATAGGCTTGTTTTCACAGAATGCACAAGCAGTCATATCTGTGGAGATAACAGTCACCGACTTACCGCACAAATTCATAAGCATAACTTCATCCGTTGTTTGGGGTACCTCAATATGCTAATGAGGTGGTTTATTTCCGGGACTGCAATCCCGCACTGCACCGCATTTCCTGTCACAGCTACCGCAATACCGCTTCAGACTCTGAGACTCTGTGCTCTCTTGATCAGAACTTGGGGAAGTCCAAGAAAGACATTACACATTCTTTTTTTTTTTTTTAAACCAACGTTTACACCCTTTTGCAATTTAAGTATCGAAAAAATCTTTCAGGTCTCCTAAATTTATCCCATGTTATGGAGCAGTGGTTATGGACTACAAAATGTAATCAGTTTGGTGTCTCATCCAAGCACATCAAACACAATATAGCATCTTTGCAGCGTGAAGAATTTGTGGCGTCGTTGTCATCAAACCGAAGCTATTAGCACCAGTTCATATTTATAAAACTGCTTTTCGTTGTCTATTGTCTTGTCCAGAGGTAGAAAACACGTTTTGTCTCTAGGAAATCTATATACTTGCAATTAATTGTAGGCTACATACTCTTAAAGGCAATTTTCTATGCTATAGGGGGTATGGTATGTATAAGGTCTATGATAGGCCCCCATACGATGAACAAACGCCTAATGTTTAGAACTGTCGAGCTTCACACCTAGTATAACAATGGGCTGTATATTAAAAGATAAAATTAAAGTTAACTTAACTCGTGCTGAAAAATATTCGACGGACATAAAAGCGAAAGGGCTGAAAGCGCAGTACATGTATATCCGTATGTTCTTAGTTAATGATCTTAATTAAATACTGGAACTTAAAAAAGTGAGTTTTTTTCTTTCTTTTCTTACTCTGAATTTTATTATCATTTTTATAAAGAAGGTGTTTTTATTTATATGTCACTGGAGCAATTTAGTACATATCGACAGATATATGCAGAACTAATTTTTTACTTGATTATTCACAGAATGAATGAAAAAGAAACGAAAAACAGTGTCAGAAACACACTTCTCCCTGCAGTTAAATTTATTCCATAAAAACACTAGAATAATGAAAGAAAAAAGTAAATGTATACCAGATAAAAGATAACCTAACATAAATACAATTAACTGATAATCCGTTGAAGAAATGGAACGTGCAGCGTCTCTGTATCTGTCTTCTCACAAATGCTCATTGAAATGGGATTTCTCTCAAAATCCAATCGAAATTTAAATTAAACATACGAAATTCGCTCTTGTTGTGATAACAGCGACATGTTTATTTTCTATTTTATATACGTTTATCATACTATCAGATTACACGACCTAATGCCGCGCATTGATAGTACAATATTCCGGTATAATCGTAAAGATTATCAGTGTGCTCGTAAAATATAATTTCTCCTGGAGTAACCCCGTCGCTACTGTTAAGGAGCCAATTATTAACGAAAGCGAGGTTTTGAGAGGTCTTGAAAAATACTGTTGCAGTGATCAATTGGATGTTTTCAAAGATACTTTACGAGACTATCAGCGTTCCAGAAATACCGCGCCGTTTTCGTCATCCTTTTGTGCCCATTGATTAAGTATGATATCCGACCGAAGAATTCATTTAGTCGGTTCTGGCCATCTTGATGTTTCTCTCTCCGGACCACAATCTGGAGACCATGGCGTCACTGAGAGGCCAGTCGTAAATCTGGACCTGAAAATTGGTGCATATAGGCGGTTAGAAATACCCCAAAAAATCTGATCAAAATGTTAATATTTTTAAAAGTCGCGAGTTCTTAACATACGTTGATCTGAGAGAGCATTATTTGATCTTGGCAGGCATCTTTAAAAAACGAAAGTAATAGTATCAAATTTGACGTTTTACAGAAGTTGAGCTATTACTATTGAAAGTTTCATGAAAGTGAAAATGAAGATAACGCTCGGTAACGTTTGGCCTTGTGAAGTCTTATTCTTTAACAGTCTTATTCTTCACTTTATATCCCAACATGTGCTGTACAATAATGCATTGAATTTATCTTAGAACTGAGGATATTTTACCTCATCGAGGAAGCCGATCAGGTTGGTGTTGCTGAAACCGAAGTTGGTCTCACAGTCCAAGTCTCTGCCCATGTAAAGTGGAGCAAGGGTAGCTGGGATAGCGCCTGGGGGAGACAAAATAATGATATGACGATTTTCATGAACTCAAACGTTTTTGATCCATTGGCCCAATGTCATAACGTGATTGGACAATCAACAACTACCATAATCTCGCGTGCAATAGCGAGAGCTCCACGCGGGTATGATATTTACTTAATCCCATGTGTGTAATGTTTAAATTGCAATTGAAGTGGACATTTTGTGATTTTAGAAGTTTTGAATATAAGCTTTATAAATCTGTGAATTGGTAAACATCAGTGTTTTGGAGCAGGCGAGGTAGCCGTACCGCGCACCACAAACAAATTAAGAGTTTTTTAAAAGCACGGACTTTTGTGTGGAACAAAGCGGTACCCACCAATTTTTGTAACCCGACAGAGTTAGTATTTACCAACATGTTGATACCCTGCAGTGAATTTTTTTTTTTTTTTTTTTTTGGTCATAATATAATATTATGGCGGGAATGCTTTCGCGGTACTGCACAATGTACACGTGTAGCCACTAGTTCCACAAAACCACAGCTTGAAACCGCGTCATATGCACATGTATTGCAAGATGTGTAATTAAAAAGTATTTGTTGGATTTTGCAGAGAATGTAATCGTAATATATTCAATTCAACATTGATAACTAGCAATTTAAATCCACATACCAACGGCGATCTCGTCGAGGACGACCTTTCCGTTGAAGTGCAATTTCAGTCTAAGTCCATCATAGACCAAGACAACATGGTTGAAACCACTTCCGCCCTGAAAAAGAAACAAATGTTTACCACCTGTGTAGAGTTTTACATTCGGGTTTGTAATTAAAATCCACAGATTTAATTATAAATGTCGCAAAACTTTAACACAGGTTGCTTAAAATAAGTATGGATAAACAAAAGAAATATCTGATATTTTAATAAACACCAATATTACAAAATGAATTCATGGCAAGCAAGACCTAAGGTACTTGTCCGACGGGTGACAAACATGTTAGGCCCAGATATAAAGTCTGACTCACAGAGGCTCCAAGGTTCACAGTCTGGAGGGTGCCGTTGTTGTTGACCAGGACACGTCCTCCGAACACGCCCCCTTCGGACCACATGCTGATGGTTGGCTCGACGGCGCAGTTACCGTTGTTCAAAAGACCATCACGCACGTTCTTGGTATAGGCTTGGTTGTCGTACCAGAAAGAGATGGTGAGGGCAGAGCCCCATGGGTAGTTGTTGAAACGTGGGACCTCGCAGTGGACGGTGCCGTTGAAGTGGGCGGAGTTGCCGACCTTTCCTGATGAAAGTTCCACACCAGCACAGTCTGTCCAGAAGTTATCGACGGTGGTGTCGGTGTTCTCGTCGAATGGCCACAGGGCGATAGCCTGGAGATCTAGAACAAATGTCCTTTGTGTTATTATATATGAGCTTTTCGGAGTAACCAACGTAGAAATGATCGCAAAAGTTATCGAACGAAAATATTAGATACCACTCAAAATATCTATCAAATTAAAGAAATTAAAAAAATTATCAAATTAGAGAATCTATCAAATTAAAGAAACAGAAAGCCCCCTTTTAATATCTTATTGTTTTTTTAGCAAATATCTGACCCAATTACGTCAGGCTAACCCCAACCTGGACCCTCCTTTTCGTTCTATCGGAACACATGAAGTCTTACCTGGAACCATGCACATGCATCTCTGAACGTTGAACTCCCACTGTCCGCAGCTGACACGCTCGATTCTGGTGTCGTCACCAATGGTCTGGGATCTGTAGAAGGTGTTGACATCACCCCAGACGGCCAAGTAGGTCCATCCGTCAGGGCCGTCACATTTGCCGTCAAACTGGGGAAGGGTAGTGTAACCGATGGTGGTGGTTGGTGGGGGAGCTGAGAGAAAAGCAGGCGGTGATGTTAAACGTTATGTTTCAAAGTTTCGAAGACTTTAAGGATCAGATGTCCTTTATCTTAATTTTTTTCACGTTTTTATTAATTAATCAATTAAATTATATATATATTTATTTATTTATTTATCTATTTATTCAAAAAATCTGATTCATATTTCTGGCACCATCGCTGATGGTCGCTTTCTTCAAAAGAGTACACCTACTTCTTGGTGGGCACTGTGGGTATGGCGCCTTGCTGCCTGGGCAGGTGGCGACCTCACAGGGGACACAAGTCACGATGGTGCCGTCAAAGAGGGTACCTTCGGCACAAGCCTTCACGGTGACCCTAGTGTTTAAGTTCTCGTCCAAGTCGCACTGAAGGTAGGTCTTGCAATCATCTGGGTTCTCGTAGTAGCCCACGCCGTTTCTCTCTTCGATGCATTTCTTGCAGAAATCGAAGAATTTTGGGGCTGCAATGAAATGTTCTTCGTAATAATTATAATCGAAGATGTATATTCACCATTCGCCTTGTTTTGATTATCCTTGTTAATAAGTGTTATTTTTCCTGCTGGCCCTTTATAAAAATAACTTCTTTACAAATTTACAACCCGTATATATCCATAACTGACAGAGACATCTTAGTACAGATTCATTTCTACTGCTTAGACTCAATTCTTTATTTCTTTGGCGAAGAAACCGGCTCCAGTCCGATAAGACACACCCCTTTAACATCGAATTCAAGCTGTCCATCAAACACACCACGTTCGAACCACGTGTTTACCACGTGGTAACCACATTATAACGTCACAGCAACATGGTAGCCACGTGATCCCATCGTGAAGTGTTTTCTGGGCATGGTTCTTCTAGTTTTCTCATACTCACGTCCCAATAGATAAATGTAATGCAATCAACGACACATTAATTCTCCGCGTTCACTCTTAAAGTCTGGTACTTACGGAGATGGTGCTCGTCGTATCTGGCGAGGGCACTGCCCACCAATGCGAGGATCAGGATGCTGTACATGGCGGCTCTGAAAGCCGAGCAAATTTTTTAAAAACATTTTTGTCTGTAATCTTCAACTCAAAATTTGCATAGATCTAAAATACAGGTGGTTTTGCCATTCTTAAATGAAATAAACCCCGTTGGTTCAGTTGCATCTTCCTTTCCTCTAGATATCGGAATAAATGAATATTAGAAATTACTATACTGTGTAAATTATGGATTGTCTTTTGAAGACGTCCAAGTGTATTTTTCCAGTCATTTTTACACAGAAATTTTTTAACAAATTTTAATGAATTTATTCCTTGTGGAAAGAATCAACTTAACGTTATCATGTACATTGTACTATCTGCCGTACTGCTAAGTATTAATCACCTTAAGCCGAGAACATGAGTGTTAATCACAGCAGAGACAAAGAAGACGCGGCACTCACCTTCACAGGTTGTTGATCTGTCCCAGCTGTCAGCGAACACGATGCCAGGGCTATGGTTGCCTGGGTCCTTTTATACGGCACCTCAAACAATACCTTCGTGCATTGTCCGATACGAGATATATTTTACTTACAATGGGGTCTCTGATGGTCGTTAACCTTCGGCATGTGATTGAAAAGATAAAGATAAATTGCTGATGCTTTTTTCACCATGCCTGTGTTTAGGTGGCCATTTCTTAAGAGATGTTCATCTGAAGTGTTGGACGGTGATTAGTTTGAACACGCCTTGAGTGTGGTGAAAAACCACCAGGCTATCATTGCTCAGAACAGAACAACAACTTATTTTTTTAAGGTTTGGAGATGGTTAAGTATGTGAAATCTTCGCTGCCATTGATTTAAGTGTGGGCACCTGATCTGGCGGCCCCGAGCACGAGAGTCCGACCTTGGAAGGTCAGATATACAGACTCAAAAATGGTCTTTCGCCAACGCTTTCGTCACATCTATATTTTGAGGCTTTTTACAAAAAAAAATAATGCTTCTAAACTTCTTGTCTTTTAGCAAGAAAATTCTAGATAAGTGTCTGTACTCTTGGACATAATAACGTATTGTCCATGCTGTACTAGACCCGCCCTAAGTCCATTATGTGTGCATGGACACTAACGTGTTATTAAGATATTTGAATAGTCCATTCAATATTAGACGAAATCCGCGTAAAATGGTTGTCTCCAATTTAGTGGAAACGCGTTGACGCGCCTGAAACACGGCATTACCTTTTTTTATAATATTTTTTCTAGGGGTTGTGGGTTTGACTTTTCCAAGACTGGCCTCCCCGGGTAAAGAAGGAAAACACTGTACTGCAGGCATCTCCTGCTGTTTCAATTCAAGAAAAAATGATGAGACAGAATCTTAGATAATATCTCAGATCGCACTCAAAAAAGAATATGTGGACAATTCTTGTTAATACATAGATATCTCTGTGGTTAGACTGTTATACGTTTATTAAAGTAGTAAAAGTGGGGTACATCATTCTCAGTAAAAATTTTCTGACAAATTTGGAAGAAATGTTTATTTTTATTTTGTTCAAAATAATTTGTTCAACACTTAACCAGTTTGTTGTTGGAGACAAGACTGTGGTCCCAATGTAATTTTAACCGTTCAATAAAAAAGATTAATGTCCATAATGGTATTATGTCTGTTTCAAGATATGAAGGACAAATGGCAGTAATGGGGGCACGCCATCGCGACAAACTATTGCCATACTTGCTTCGTCGGGATTATTTTTTTAGATGAATTTCACTTATAAGGGTAGTTCAGTAGATTGGTAGGAATCTGCTTCTTCATGTATGGTAAGAGCTTCTCCACTTTTTAACTACGATAGTGGATTTCTTATTGTTGGGCGTGCCTCTCGCATACATAATTTCCCCTCAAAACGATAGCAAAATGATAACGGACAAAATGTTTCATTGGTAATTCAATAAATTTGCCTTATTTGTTACAGAAATGCAGTGTATGGTACACTTGAACACGTTTTAGTTTAGCATCGAGACAGTCACGAAATCATGCCGTCAAATATCTTAATAACTGATCAGGTAGACACTTTGTTATGAATGGAGGCCTTTATGACAACTGCTGGACCCTCGCATGAGCGAGTTACTTCGGGGAAAATTTTGGAGCCAGGGTATTATTAAAAAGTCGATGTAAACTTGTTGATAAACATGTGTATCTTAGCAATCACTCCAGACCCTATGAGTCATCGATGGTATCTCAGGTTTTGTAATGTGTTTGTTTTATTTTTCTAGCCCGAAGTAATCACAGCCAGAGAACGTAGTTATTATTCTGTAAATTATGATGTTGGTCATGTTACAGTCAACCCCTATACTCTCGTGCATGTGCTCCGAGGTTCTCTTTAATCGTGGCACTGTTCTTAGAAATGGCGATTGTATTCACAGTGTGTCCCGTTTTCAGAATTCACTTTCCCACATATAATAACGCGTTTACAAGCGCCAACTATGTCATAGCGTGTTGCATGGTGGTCCAGATAGGCGCACTGCCATTTCCCATTAAGGAGTCGACACACTAAAGCCTAGGTCCCAACCGGCCTGCGACGTGTGGTCTACGGCCAAAAAAATTGGGGAAATGTGGGAGTTCGTGCGTGAGGAGCACGTCCTTCGTGCGAATTTTGGAGGACGCAAACAGCACGTAGAAACTTTTCGGCATGATCAACACCAATTACTTGCATTCTTCCCTGCGATCTAGCTACGTCTTAGCCGGACGCAAGGAACCTAAAAACCGTGCGTCCAAAATGAGTTGAGACCTAGGCTTAACACACCTGTGCAGCTTCCAGCACTACCGGAAGTAGGCATACACACAAGCCGGAATCGGCTAACCGGGCATGCACGTGGAAAGGTGAATTTGCATATTACATGATCAAATAAATGACGCTTGCCGATTGGTCGATAGGCTGTCAATTGCAGTCAATTATTTTGGTGAGTTGATATGAAGGTCAACTCATTCTACCATCCCGGAGTAACAGGAATGGGAGTCCTAGGAATGGAAGTCCGGGCTCCCATATGATGAGTACAGGTTAGGGTTAGTTGGAGTAATGGGGTCAGTATGTGGAAACAATTTCACCTAGGTGCAAAATAATGGGAAGCGGACTACGATTCCTAGCGGACCTCCATTCCTGTTACACCGGATCTCCATGTCGGCTGCATGAGTTAGATATCCGTCATAAAGTTATCTATGTGTCTTAATTATTTCCAATAATAGAAAAAATGCGTGATCATGTAACAAAGCAGTTATAGACTTAGAGTTTTGGTCACCTCTGGGCTAGCTTCTACTCTCAACTGGGATAATTATTGTCAGTAATTGTATTGCCTACCATAACCATCACCAGTATGAAGTGCCTAGGAAATAAATGACTCAAATTGAAACAATGCTAACAAAGGTCCATTCGGGGCCCGACGGAGCTCGAATAATTTCCCAGTGGAATCCAACGATGGCAAAGTCTGTTTTTAGGGCAAATTTCAAATAATCACCGTCACTACAAATGAACCCAACCAATATTTTTACGAAGTCCTAGACCTTGTATAATCACCATTTTATTTTTTGTATTCTGCTCAACGTCAGCAGAACGCGTGTCAATCTGTTAATCCGATTGGATTCAGCCAGAGTCCCCGAGTAAATTGGATATAATGAGGGCTGGACAAAATAAATAAATAAATAAATAAATAAATAAATAAGAAATAAACAAACCAGCATGCCAGGGCTATCAGATACAAGTATACGTAACCTACTGTTTTTTTACAAGACACACAATTAAGTAAAAAATACAATCAGCGTCTGTCCTCTTTTGAGTAATGATTGGCCAACATACGGGATACAGTCTATGAGGGTTTTTAAACGAAATTCAATATTACCCTTCAGTTCGTGACGGCAATTTTCTCCTTTTAACAACAGGTAATACGTTCGTCGTTGTTTCGGCCAGGTCACTTATGCTTGTCAATATCTAGGCGATCTTGATCCAGGAATCTATCACTGGCATTTGCCCTTTCTTCTCCCTTGGGAATATGAGCGCGGAAAGTTACTGGTAGCTCTTTTTTCAATACAGTATAAGAGGTGAATGGACCTACAATTTCTTAAGCTGCCCATCCCCGCCTCTCTCTCGCTCTTTCTTTTTTCAACCATTATCGAGTTAAGTATTTGACCAGCACTGAAAATTACATATCGCCAGAATCGTATTTAGTATACCGGTACACTATTTATCGGTGGTCGGCTACTTGGCTAACGACCGCCTGGTTACTCCAAAGGGCAATTTTCGTCTGAATTCAGAAACTATATCTTGTATTAACATGTTTTAACAAGAATCAAATTACACATAGTTCATACAGCTGGTTTAATAAGTCTTTTATAAGTGCAGTGATACACAAAATTAAAAATGCGAGGGATTACTTGAAGAAGGAAAACAGATGCTACTGTAGACCAGAGGTCCTTCTGTACTGTAGCTGTCACAAAAGTAGAACCTGCTAGACATTCAAATGGAGATTAACGGTAGGTTATTTTACAGAGGAAGCCAGGTGACAGCCAGGTGACGGCAATCACTTAAGTGGAAAAACGTGCTTGGCTTATAGGTGTCCATTAACCACATTAAGACATCAATCTAACCATATATACCAGGTTGAAATTAAACCAAGAAAAAGTCTAAACGAGTCATCAGATTCATTTGGGTCCTTCTTGGAAAATCCGAATTAAAGACTACTTTTTGTTAGATGGGGTTAGTGAAGAGAACCGGGAGAATGTTATTGTTAAGTCATGAGAATCGAAAATCACGAGCTGAAATTTTGAGTATTTTTCAAATTGATGTGTAAACCAAAAGCTTTTTTAAAAAGCATTCTTGAACTTATAAATTATATTTTTGGATAATTATACCTCAATGATGTGTTACCCGGACCACGAGATGAAAAGTGGATATCTGGAAAAGCTATGCATAAAGCCTATATTGTTCATTGGGGGTGAGATATGACATTGCCTATAATTAAAGAAATTAGTACGTACCAGTACTTGCATAGCTGAGGAATGCATATTATAATGGAAACTAAATGGAAGCAGAATAATTCTACTCTTTACAGAGAGTGTAAACGTATTTTATAAGTAAAAATGCTTCCCCATTGTTATGTTTATCAAATTATTGTGAATATAAAGACAAACTACTTTTTCAGTCTGTGTTACGAAACCATTGCATTGCGCCTATGAAAATGTGAAAATGATCACTCATCTATCTAGATGTACATATACATTTACATACTATTTGACAATTAGTTTACTGTTGGGTGTTGAAACTATCCTATCTGATAGAAATGGTAGAACTAATAACAAAATCATTGTAATATCATTTTGAAAATAAACCTTTTTTAAAAGTACATATAGTACAAAAACGTGTATGAAATGTTGTACGTGTGAATAAGAGAGATATATACTGGTCCTGCGGCACAGCGGTCATGAATTGTGAACATATCATTCATAATTTCATGAATTTTGTAAAACAAAAATGGGAA